ATAAAGTTTACATGAAATCGTTATTTTACTTCAATATCCACTGGATAATGTTTGTTGTTCTTTTTTCTTAACGACGGCTTTAAATTGTATATCACATGTTAACAAAGCACATTAGAACGGAATTACTTATTATAAATCAAAAACCTTTTTTCACTTCTCAGTAAAGATCTCGTTAACTTTAGTAAAAACAGTAAGGATACGGGACCTACATAGGTCCCGTCAATTTACGTGCTAATTTTCCCGTAAAAAAGGTTTTATGCAACACCCGCAATTTCTGTTGCATAAATGACACTTAAGTGAATACTTACGAAAATCGTAAGTGCAGCCACTTAAGTGAAATCCCTAAGTAGACCACGTAAGTGATTTAATGCAACTCACTTAAGTTACGAGTACACGTACGTATACCCGTAACTGTTACGGGCGTTTTATGCAACAGGGCCCAGGGGCCCGTTTCTCAAAAGTCCCGGTAACTTTACGGGCCCGAAATCAAATATTCAAATCGAAATATAAAGAATGAGAGCGCGGGTCCTGGCTAGAAAACTACTCCATTTTGTTTCATTAACTGACAGTTTTATCGGGTTAGATGCAAAACTATTAAAACCTCGATCTTTAATGTAAACGGAGACAGCTTACCGGGCCCGTTAATTATCGGGACGTTCGAGAAACGGGCCCCAGGGCCCGGTTGCATAAAACCTGCACTTAAGTGTTCACTTAAGTGGGCCACTTACGAATCCGTTATGGGTACACTTACGGGTGTTGCATGGAACACACTTAGTACTGTCGTAAGTTTCTGTTTTACGTGGTAACTTACGGGCTACTTAAGGGCACACGTAACCTTGATATAGTACTTTATTTATGATTCACTCTTATTTTTTTTTTAAGCTAACCATCGGTGAGTGTAAAGAAAGTTAAAAGTCGTTTCGAACACTTTTAAGCCTCTCAAAAAATGAAATTTGCATGCAAACGTTATTTTTCTTCAATATCTACAGAAAATGATCGTTCTTCTTCTTTTTTCACAAAAGTGTACATCAGAGGTTAACAAAGCGCATTAGAACGAATTACGTGAAGAAAAATACTTTTTTTCACTTCTCAGTAAAAGATCTCGTTAACTTTAGTAAAAACAGTAACGATACGGGACCTGCATAGGTCCCGTAAATTTACGTGCTATTTTTCCCGTAAAAAACGTTTTATGCAACACCCGCAATTTCTGTTGCATAAACGACACTTAAGTGAACACTTACGAAAATTGTAAGTGCAACCACTTAAGTGAATTTCCTAAGTGGACCACTTAAGTGATTCATGCAACTGACTTAAGTTAAAAGTGCACGTACGTGTACCCGTAGTTGTTACGGACGTTTTATGCAACCGGGCCCACTACACTTATAATCCACCTTTCTCATATTTTTCCCGCCCTCAAACACTTACTCACTCTATTAAGAGTTTCCCTGTGCCAATCGCAGGATGTTGTTATGGCAACGCAAACTAAAAACCACAATCGCCACGAAGTAATTATGAAACCTCTCGTATTTCGTCTTTTTTACAGCAGTTTTCCTTAAAAAAGAACCCTATTTCTAGCACTGAAACTTTCCGACTTTATTTTATTAGTATTTTTTAAGCTCTGCTATCTTTCACTCGCAAATCGACGCCGTACTACAATATATAAAGCCATGAGCATTAAATTTTAACAGTTTTAACAGGTGACCCAGCCTCGTTCTCAGTCGTCCTCGGCGATTTCGGATGTGACGTCACCTGTCAAGCTTGTCGGGAAAATTCGCCTATCGCGCTCGGTTCCAAGCCTCCTCTGGTCACTCGGATAGCGCGAACAGGCCTGGGTACGAGGCTGCAGGTGACCACTTTTTCGCAAGAACCAATCCATAAAATGATTACCTAAAAATATAAAATACTTGGTCTTTAAATGAATTCTCTAAGTTAATTCAGTAACGAAATGTTTAGCGATCATTCAAGAGAGAATTTGTATCGTGGATATTAGGGCTTTTAAAAATGATTAATCCTTAAACCTAGACTAGAACCATATAAAGGTTTGTACAAATAGTGACGTGCAGGCGCAGTAGTAAAGGCGCTGGACCACCTTTCCTAGTCGTTCCATGTAAGGGAGTCCGGATTCCGAAATCCGGGAAATTTTTGCTTGTGGAATCCGGAATCCTGGGCTTTGGAATCGGGAATACCGCTCGAGAAATCTGAAATCCCACTAACGATTGGAATCCGGGATCGAAGTTCCACCGACAAAGAGTGGAACCCAGTACCTGGAATCCAGAATCCAAGGCGTGGATTCCAGAATCCACGACTGTCTTGGATTCCCTAGTCTGCGTCGAAGACGTAATTTAAACCCGGTTAGTAATGTCTGCAAAGCAGACATTATTCCAAATCCTTATTCTGGGCCCCCAACGGACCCAAGAATTACCGGATATGCGTTTGGAATTTCCTTTCAATCTGATTGGCAAATATACAATGGCCTTTTTTAACAGGCTAATATATCATGGCGCGTACTCAAACCTTGGTACACAGGTGGAGGCCTAGCTAGAACTGTTTAGCAGACGGACTTAGCCAAAGTTTAGTTTTGACTGTGGCGCTCAAAATGTGCGCGAGGGATGAACGAACAGCTACTGAAAACGTCAGATCCTGATGTTTTATCCTCTAGAAAAAAATTCAAAAAAACCTTACGGGGGGGCATCCACCCCACCTCCCTTGTACGTCCGAGGGTTAATTTGGGGCTCAACTTGGTCAATGAAAGTCGATTGCTGAATTTCCGTCGATTTTTTTTTAAGGGGGATGGGCCATTAACCCCAAGACCTAACTCCTGGAGGGCCAGGCGTGGCAATTTGTCTTGCCTATTTTCACCCAAAAGCTACCCAGCACGGTTGAACCCACCAGGAACCAAATTACAATGTCCCCACTAGTATTATCAAGGCACACAAATCTCCCGACCACGTTTGTTTTGCGTCCCCTTAATTGATATTTTGACTTTGCCATTCAATGGTCGTTACTAAGAGTTATATGCTTTCCCTTGTGTAGTCTTCGTGCGACAATTCACCCTGTAAGAGTGCTGGTAAATGCGTTGCCCGGTACCAGGAAAATGGATATAAGTGCATCTGCGTGAAAGGATTCACCGGAAAAAACTGCGAAACGAGTAAGAATTACTATTAGTTGAAACAATGTTGCCAGTAATTAACAAATAAAGAAACCTTTTAGTGAGCTCTGTTCTGTTGTAAAACAAGTAGGAAGCGGCTAGAGCACGAAAGAAGTGTAGAGGGAAACACCAGACGTAGTTGAGAGTTTTTCTGTAGTTCTTGAGTGCTCTAGCCGCTTCCAAGGTACTTCACAACTAAACAGGGTGACAAAAAAAATTAGTTTTAGCGTCAGTATACACTTAAAAGTGTTTATGCCCGCATTGTTTTTTTTTATATCCCAATATTGAATTGGGGGGACGGCGGTATTTCGTGAAAGAGAAACCATCTTTTTTGAACATTTAAACAAACTGCTGTTGAGTTGTGCAACCCGCTTCCCACTTTGTCCGGGACTGTTCGCTAAACATTATAAAGCTTTTGTAATTAAAATTAAAGGTATTTTCATTGGCTTCTAATCACAGGTACAAGAACAAACTGGGGGTTCAACGGCCCATTGTAATAAAAAAAGTCGGCGAATAAGTTTGACGCTGAACTTTTGCAGACATTTTATAACCTAGAATTACAATTTCCCTGAGAGGTTACCAAACACATAATTGGTGATGAATTAGCTTATAGACAGATTTCTCCAGGACCTCCAGGTAACTTTAGAACAACTATTTTACATTTTCTGTCTACAGTTCAAAATTATAGGGATGAAATAATGAAATTTTTGCAATGCGCTATAACTTAGAATTTCGCAAATTGACTCTCTACAGCATTATCAGGCGCCAATCTATCAAAAAATCGAAACAAATCTCTGGGCAAACGATTTTAAGCAGCCCGCAAGACCTCGAGTTCAACCTTAATTTTGCGAAAAATTGCGACATTACAGTGATTAATAATAGCGTTACACGGCCTGTCACGCCAGCGGTGTTAACTACAGATACACTTTAAACATTCTATTCACATGCCAAATTCCAGCATACAATCTATATTACTTCTTTCAATACACTTATCTCATTTAGAAGAGTCATTTTGTTTGGATACAATATATAATGCAGAATCACCCAAAGGTCGGCTTTTTTGAGCGAAGTCGGCAAGACGTTGACCGAGTCCAACGAAAACAGACTTTAAACAAGTACATTGGTGTGTTTTATTTATTTACGCATCCGTCAGAAGGCATAAATACGTTAAATTTAAGACGGAGACAACCAATATTAACTGATTAGAACACTTTCTTTTTTCTTGCGAGTTCCCGCTTTTGTACCAAAACTGGTGACAGATGTTTTTGTTGGTTTCCGTCCGCCATGTTGGTACCCATCCAGGTGGGAACCAGCACGGCGTCTCCATACAAATCGCTATAAATTTGGGTAAAACATTTCTTCGGATATCTCGTATACGGAATATTCTTCTGGCTTGAATGTTGGCGAGGGTCTTTGTATATTTACCTCGTTTCATTTCCCAGATTCCGGGCTTTATAATGTGAACGGTTTTGATTTTTATTTTGATCTATTTTGAATGGCGTGACATTGAAAACCAGCAATAAGTATACATGTACGTTTCGATGTATTACTATCACCCTTATAAAGGTACTTTGTAAGGAACCTTTCAGAAAATATTTTAACTCGTTTCGATCGACGATGAAACCCCATCATAAAAAGCAAATCACCAAAAACTTGCCTCTACAGCACAACAGAAAACAGTGAAAAAAAAAGTGGCGTTTGACTATATGAGCTTTTAAAATGTCAAATGCTCCTAAACTGACATCTATAGATCCCTTGCATCGGCATTGGAAAAAGCTCTCTGGCTCACTATGAACAAGCTTTTTCCAGGCGTAGTGGACAGTGGATAGTGGATAGTGGGCAGTGGCGCGAAATGGAGAACGGAGGAAAACTAACGTGGAAGAGCTTGGAAGAACGTAAGAGGGAGAGAGTAGGTAACCTCCCACGCATGCGTTTTTAGGGGAGCTCGTTTTTCATCCCGCCCCACATGAAAAACGAGTTCCCCTAAAAGCGCCTGCGTGGGAGGCTAGAAATTAGGAGGAGGAAAAGAGGTTCTTTCGCCCTCTCCCCCTAACCCCGCCCCTTCGCCATTTTTTATGGCTCGTTTTCCCAACTATCTGAAGGCCTGTTACAGGTTAACTACGATATTCAACTTGAACGTCGAGCACTTGTGTCGCTTTGTTATTAATCAGCAGGGACGGATTTGGTAGTACTAACTTTTCAACTGCTTTTAATTAGACTGCGAAACTGTCATTTTTCTTCTTTTTTGTTTTATTTTTTTTTGTCAGTTTCCATCGAATTTTTAGAGGTATTTTTCGTTTCTCTCCCCAGTTTCTTTCACTTTCCCCCTCCCCCCTGCTTCAGACAAGAGGGTCACGCAACCATTTGTTTTGCTCCAGACCATTCGTTCGACTATTGGTGCGTTCTTGGCCTACGCAAAAAATACGGGCTGTTTTGTGGTCTGAAAGACTTTGCACTGATTGACGTTAGTGTCCCAGTATGGAAACTCTAGCTGTAATACTGATCGAACTGCAGATGACAGGTTAAAAGACTGAAAGTTCCTTTCAACAGCGTTTGGAAAGAGAACTTCGTCTTTTCCGCCCCCCCAAAAAAACTAACTAAAAATAGGGAAACAAAATAGAGTATAATACCAATCCTAAGAAGAAACTTGTAACGAACGAACGGGAACACCTAAAAAGGAAAGACAGACTTGAGGAACTCTATCCTTTCCTGCAGCCTTCTTTCCTCATCCTCCGTAGCCTTAGTCCATGAAACTTATACGCCCATGGTACCCTCTAAAATGTCTTTCCCCACGCTATATAATACTAGTGATAAGCCCCTTGGAAGGCACTTATTAAAATGGATATGCCGCTGAGGCCTTCAAACCCTGACTCTATTTAAGACAAAAACCAGTCATTTCATTACTATATTCAAGACGCTTGGAATTGTATAACCTTTTTAAGAATCAAGGCCTCCAAAACCTTACCTTTGCGCATTAGATCGTATATTTAAATGCTATTTTGCGCCTTATAAATAATAAATTATTATTATTATTATTATTATTATTATTATTATTATTATATCACCTTTGTCTTTGTCACAAAACCGAATGAGACTGAGAGCCTTAGTCTACTTTACGTAAGTACCGTGTAGATCTACGGAAGAATTGTTTGCAGCCAGCCCTAGTCAAAACCCTAAGAGACTTCGCCTGCCGCTGGTCAATAGGAAGGCCATTCCCAAAGAACTGCTCCAGAAAAACTATTTTTTAACATTTGTCTGGGGTAGAGGAATAGCGAGTTTGCTGTTGGTGTCTCTTAAAAAGTAATTAGAGAGACTGCAACGATCTGCCATTGCTACGATCTACTACGATATATAACGCATATTCTCCGATACACCGGCCTCTCACCGCTCTTTGACGAAATGTCCCTAGAGGCAGATAGCGATGAGACGAAGCTGTATCGCAGGCTTTTGGACACAAGGCTTTTCTACTATTTATACGGGTAAAGTGGTCGCTTCACGGTTTGGGCAATGGTGAACAGAATTCAGGACCGATGAATTTTGATTCCGTTCGGGAATCGCGTTTACCATTTGCCTAAGTCAGTTTCGTTTAACGAAAAACGGCCTCGAAAGCCTGACACTAATATTCAAAAAAAGGTTTGAAGACATGAAATCCCAATTTCCGCCTGGAATTTTCCAACCAGGAAAATAGAAATGCTTTTTCAGACGTTCCATTTGTTTCAGGAATTTTCCACTGAAACGTCGAAAACAACCCGAACCTGAGTTAATGGTAAGCCTGGCAAAGCACCAAAGTGCCTTCTTAGTTTGTTTTAATGGGTCATATATAGAGCAGTAGCTTCATGATTCATACACGTTGTCTCCTCTTTGGCATCCACGTAACTTTTTTCAGTTTTGAAAGCCCGCAAGGGTAAGAACTACGAAGAACTATTGCACCAATACTTAGTCGAAAATATTTAATTGCTTCAAGGAAATTAGTGTTTATAAACCAGATGGCACTGTTCGGCGATGATTTAATTCGTAAATATCCCGCAATGCAAAAATTCATTCAGTAAACGGTTTTAGTTTAGATTTTTTCTGTTTATATATCATTTTTTGAGGGAAATCGCTAGTCTGAAACTGAACATGAAAGTTTGTGACGCTATCACGGGGACGCTATATGCTGTATCTGAAGAAAATGCTGCAATTAATAAGAATAATAGGTTTATTGAAAGATTTAATTTCGCACTGGCTTTTTTAAAATCTGTCTTCTTATAAGTAAATTGTTTAAAGCGTATCAAAAGGTAACACTGGCGTGACGGGCCGTGTCACGTTATTTTTAACCATGCAAATGTCGCGATTTTTCCCAAAATTAGGGTTGAACTCGAGGTCTTGCGGGCTACTTAAAATCGTTTGCCCAGAGATTTGTTTCGAGTTTCTAATAGACTGGGACCTAGTAATGCCGTAAAGAGTTAATTTGCTAAATTCTAAGTTATTATAGCGCGCTATTAAAATTTGCATTATTTTATCCCCATAATTTTCGACGGTAAAAATTGCCAATAGGGCTTATTTTTAACAAAACCTTTTTGGCCACATAAATAATCCCGCTTTCACAAATGTATCGTTTTCTGGGGAAGAAAGGGTTATCGATGAGCCAAATCAAATCATGAACTTATGCCGAGAGTGGGTCGATATTTACGGAAAGCCGCTCTTAATTCTTCAGTACTGTTTCAGTCGATGATTGAAGAAGCATATATTTTAAAAAAATTAGTACTTACTGAAAGTTCATGTTTATGAAATAATTTTCAGCATGTTCAGAAATATGTGGACCTCATGGTGACTGCAGCCGAAATGTTAGTGCATCACGTCCATGCCTTTGCCATCTCGGTTATCAGTGGAGCGATGCTTCTTCATCGTGTGAAGACACCAGTGAGTGTCTTGTTGGCTCCCATGAGTGTCTGTCACCAGCCAAATGCGTGAACACACCTGGGTCTTATCGTTGCGAATGTCCTTCCATTGTTGGATGGTCCTTTGATGGCAGAACGTGTATTGATACTGATGAGTGTCAATACCGAAACGTGTGCGACCCACAGGCTTCATGCAACAACTACCCTGGAGGATTTAATTGCAGTTGTAATATAGGATGGCGGGGACAAGGGGAACATCCTCAGTGTTCTGACATTGATGAGTGCACGGAAGGGATTGACAGGTAATGTTGATTATTTTGTTATACTGGGATTTTCCTCTCGGGCTGAGTAAGTGATCGCTGTCATGACCAATGATGTTTAAGTAATCAAAGCCTCGCATCTCATTCGCAAAATGATCAAAATGCGCCACAACATGACTTCTGTTACCATATCAACTTACTTTAACTCTCTTGAACGGTTGGTCAGAAGAGAATCCACGTTACTCCGGTTAGTTTTCTTTTCGAAGTCAGTTTTGTCGGTTTTAGTTTTGGGGCCTTTGGCTTCTACCTAAAAGTCAATACTGTTTGTCTTATCAAAGGTGTCCTCATCCGTCGACATGTGTCAACACCCCTGGAAGTTATAATTGTGTGTGTAATCCAGGATGGGAGAAAGTGTCAGAATTCCAGTGTTCAGACATAAACGAGTGCAGTCGTGGAATCCACGGCTGCGATCGCAACTCTTACTGTGTTAACACGGCTGGAAGCTGGAAATGCATATGCAACAGTGGATGGAATGCAGATCCATCAAATGCTCGTCTACCAACATGCAGAGACGTGAACGAGTGCGTTGAGAAGCCCAATGCTTGCCCGGTTCAATCAACTTGTCTAAACTCTGCGGGCTCTTATCGATGTAACTGCTTGTCTGGTTGGAGGAATCAAGATGCGCACACTTGCGTCGATATTGATGAGTGTTCTCAAGGATCACACAGGTGCTCATTCAATTCGAGGTGTGTCAATACGCAAGGCTCATACCGATGCAGCTGCTTGTCTGGTTGGAGAAATCAAGGTGTGCACACTTGCGTCGATATTGATGAGTGTTTTCAAGGATCACACAGGTGCACATCCAATTCGAGGTGTGTCAATACGCAAGGCTCGTATCGATGCAACTGCTTGTCTGGTTGGAGGAATCAAGGTGCGCACACTTGCGTCGATATTGACGAATGTTCTGAAGGACGTTACAGTTGCCCGTCCAACTCACACTGCGTCAATACACAGGGATCATATAGATGTGACTGCAACCGGTGTTACTATAAATCTGGAAGAAGCTGTTATGGTATGTATTAGCCCGTTACGAAAATTACGCACAATTCTTGACATTGTACAAAAACCGAAATGCAATAATTGTTTTGTTATTCACTCAAAATATTTTTAAGTTCCGAACAACCTTGCCTCCTCAAAGACGTTCTTCAAACCATTTGCTTGTTTCTCGGCACTGTTTCAGGATTTCAAAAGATCTTTTAGATAATGCTCAAAACGCAGATGACATCCATCGAACAATATTTTTTAGCGTATTCTTGCGTTTCTTCCGTTCAGATTTAATCAGAAATTCAGCTATTTCGTCTTCGGATAGCCGTTACTCTGCGAACCGGCTCCAGCGCGCGTAGAAACTAGCACAAAGTGAGCTTGTTCGCAGGCTATAGATAGCTGTAAACTCTTTCGTCATTTTCCGAACTAGGATGACGCGCCGCTGCCTGGAAACGAGGTTGCTATTTTAGCCCATTGAATCGGTTGCTTATCACTTACATCTTGCAAATATGGTAAGCACTGACTGGTTATGCGCTCGAGGAATATTTATTTATCTACATTTATACAGGATTTACTCCTTCAGCAGGGCTGATATCAACGAGGGTCCTCTGTATACGAGAGAATGGCAGAGAAAAACATGAAATGGCAGATACTTGAGAAATATACTATACAGCAAAATTACAGAATAACAGTCCTCAACATCTTCTTGAATTGTGGCAATTTTGCCGTGTCTGGGAGCTCAATGTATGTCCTTGCTTGGCCCCGGTATATAATAGATTTTTTTATAAACTTAGTTCTCACAGCTGGAAGTACAACATTAAGTTCAGTGCTCTTTTTTTTTCTGATGATTATGGCCAACTCGATGTGAGATGCAAGAAAGGTCAGTAGGGAGGATCCCCAATAGGGTTCTTCAATCTCGTAATCCCGAGGGTTATTTTTGGCATCCCTTTCCCAAGCATGCTTTCAATCCCGAATCTGGCCCCGATTTTGCTCTAAAATCCCGAATCCCGAGCTTCAAATAAGGGAAATCCCGGATCCCGAAAAATCTAGACCCTCTGCGGGTACAAGTCCCTTCAAGCAATTGAAAATGAATGTGCACAGATGTTGTTACCACCTACTACGTAGGTTAGCCCAACCAAGGTGTGATACCGGGTCGGCTGGACTAACCTACGTAGTAGGCCGGGGAATTGGAGCCAATCAGAAACAGCGAAATATTTTGAATGAACAATAATCTAATATGAACAATGCAGACAACCTAGTGACATTTGCGGTATTTGTCATGATTATTTTACAGCCGACTGTCGTTTGGGAACTCAGTACTACTACACTACCACCCGTACCAGCTATACAACACGTTACTCTACCAAATGCGGTTTTATGAATCTCTCAAGATGCAGGAGGGCAAAGTAGGTAACAAGGACATGGGGTACTCAACAAGATTTTACGCTGGTAGGCTCTGCCCCAAGGTCCGATCCCTTACCCCTTTATATTTCATTTGTGACAAAAGGTACCCTTTTCCTATACCTTTTATCACAAAACTAGGACGTTTCTCGACTTTTTCTTAGCCATAAATTTCATCTGTTAGCCCTTTTACGGGTCTTTTTACAGACCGAAATGACAGATTTCCCTACCCTTTCATATAGTTCAACAAGTGATTTTTCCACTCTTTCATATACCTGAAGCCTGAAAAAGGCCCGGAGAGCCGGTACTCAACAAATGTTTGTACGGGGAGGCTCCGCCCCGAGGTCCAACCCCTTACCCTTTTGTATACCATTTTTCAAGAAAAAGGTACCCCTTTCGTATACCTTCTATTGACAAATGGTACCCCTTTCACACACCTTGTTTAGAACTTTGCATGCATCCCTTTTAACTGCTGTAAATGCACTGTCTTTGAATTAGGACTCGATCTCAAAAATAGAACGTTTTCTCGACTTTTTAAAGCCATAAAATTCATGTGCTAATCCTTTTGGGCCCTTTTACAGACCCAAATGACAGATTTCCCCACCCTTTTATACACTTCAACTAGTGAAATCCCTACTCTTTCATATACCTGAAGCCTGAAAAAGTACCCCTTTCGGGCGGAGCCTCCCCGCGTAGGCCATCATAGGGGGTACCCCACGGGGGAAAAAGGTCGCCCTTTTCGGCGGAGCCTCCCCGTATAGGCCATTATAGGCCGCACCCTCCCCCCCTCGGGCCTCGGGGTAGCAAGGCATGCAATATGACCCTCAGTAGATCTAGGATAGTAACATGTAGTAAGTGGCAGAGCAAGATAATGCAAAGTTAAAGTACTGCTAAGTAGCTTTTACTGACTACAGTATTTGCCAACATTTGATTTTCCAACCGGAATTTCCGGGTTCCTATGTGAATGGTAAATATCACCGGGGGTCCGGGAAGCCCTAGTCGTCACGCAACGCTCCTCCCCACAAAGGAGGTTACATGACGACACTAAAAACGGCTTTGTAGCAGACTAGGGAAGCCCCGCTGTAAGACGAAATCGGGATATTGCCCTCTATCCATTTACGTTAGCTGACCTGGTATTTTTCCGTTTTTCGTAGGACGAAACGAAAGACAAAAAGTGTAAGAGCAAGCCGTCAGGTCTGGGTTGCCAACCGTCATGGAGCAAGTTGTCCGTGCTATTGAGCAGAAAAGTTTTATAAGGGAGCTTAAGCAACGACGACGGCGACGGCAACGAGGACGGCAAAAAGGCAATAAATTTAGATTAGCAAAACAACAACTTTACACGTGCCTCATTGCACGACTACAACGTGAAAATGCCTAATTTCACGTTTTGTCGAGGGCGGGAACGGAAGACAACAACTTTCTTTTTCTTTTACTGAACTTTGATACAGACCCTCAGAATTCTATTCCAAAACAAATTGCCCACATTTGACGAATTAAACGAGATGAAATAAGCGCGATAAAGTTTGAAGCAGCGCGACTTCACTTTTTAAGTGACGTTTTCATAGCCGTCGCCGTCCTTGTTGCTTAAGCTCTCTATTGCGTTTTTCAGTGTAAATAACTCAAAAGATTTCTTTTTGATGTCCATATACCCGGTATACAGTATAAGTGTGGGGCCGGAATGTAAGTCAGCCTATTGGTTTGACGAACTGTGTGGAAGGTAGCTAACTGCCAACGAGCAGCCTCGCCAAGACGCGAGACTGCGAGGCGGCAGCATAGTAAAGCCGTGCGGGAAAGTTCCAAGGCAGAATGAATCTCGAAGCGATCTAACATAAGAGTGTAACACAACTTTTTTATGACGTAATGCAGAACGGAGAATGCATTGTTTTCGAGCGAACACGTGCGCTAAAGTTCCAAGGCAGAACCTCACTCCCAAAATTTTAACTTAGGCCGCTTCTATAAAACAGTTTGAAACTTGTATGTTCCATTTTAACCCCAAGTTAGCGTTAACCGGTTTTTGAACAACTCAACCCCGCTGTCCTTAGTTGAAGCACTCAACGAACGATTTCAAGTATAATGCATGAGTGCGTACCATGACGGTAAATGAAGGACACATGACTAACCTGCAGCCTGTATTTTCGTAACTTACGGTAATTCATGACATTTCTAAACAAATTGAACAGCGCGCGTGTATAGGTAAAATCTTTGCTCGTTGTCACTAAGCAATAGCTATAAGTTTAACTAGTATAAACGTGCAGCATTTTCTAGTAATCATCCATTGATCGATCAATAGTATAGTCACTCTTTGTCTGATAGTGCCGTTATAATGGGATCAGATGCATAGTCATTAGTAAACAAGTTGTTGTCCGTGGCCTTTTCCGTGTTTTTCCTGACATCAAGACTATCAAGGGTTACCATGGAAGCAGAAAACAGGTTGAAACACCCCTTAACGTACTACTCCGAAAAGTTGCAGGACACAATCATACTGGCATGGACGGGCAACTGGAAGCGATACCCTTGAACTCAAACCCGAGAAAGATAAGAAACTCGGTCACATCTGTTACTATGAGTGAAAATGTTTTTTCTTAGCGTTGTCATTTCGAGAATGTCTTTTAGACATGTTGTAAACTAAGCTTGAATTTTCAGAGCAACGCCCAGCTAATGCACGAACGGCCGGGGCCCCAATACAACAGAGGCAATGATCCAACGACAGCGGTTGGCAAAATTAAAAATGAGAGAGTCTTCGGTGGCGGATGTAGGGGAGGGGCCCGGCCCCCCTTATTTTTAGACCAAAAAGAGGCCCCAAGGGCCGAAAAATTTTTTTATGAGACCGGGTCCCCCCGTTATCTCAGAGTCTGAATGACCGCCCCCCCCTTGTTATCTGAAGGTTTGCATCCGCTTCTTGTCTTATTAGGTAAGAACGAGAAATGGAGGCTCTGTCTGAATCGCGTCAAACCTTTATTCGAGGTCGTTGCAGCTTGCAGGCCGAACTACTTGCGAACATACCTTTCCTGAAGCCTGAAAAATGTACCACTTCGGGCGGAGCTTCGGTGTATAGGCCATTACAGGGCGGGGGTACACCCCGGGTTTCAGACGAAAACGGCGCAAAAACTATACCCTATCCCTATATGGCTTAAGTACCCACTCCTGGCTTGCGAACCACACAGGAAAGAAAAAACACACAAGAGAGGAAAGCCGATTCTTATTTAAATTCTTTGACGTACATACAACCCTGGTCAAAACTCTTGGGACATTAACGCAACAGCTGGTGAAAATGACGCATTTTTTCTCCCCCCCCGGTTCAGTGTTGACGTTATGGATTCATATCTTTTTCAACACAATCAACATTGCTGAGGGGAGAGGTACAGCAGAAACAGACTCTTTCAACAACATTTCCAAGCATTTATAACAGGTAAAATACGATTATAAGAAGTAAGGTCTGTTTTCGCGCCTCAATAGTCCAGTTTCGAATTAATAAATTACCGCTGAATAAAAACATTAACGACACATTCATACAGGGTTAGCCTCGACGTAAAGTAAAATATTCAGAAATTCTGGCAAGTAAGTGTTTGAAATTTGAATATACACAATAGACAGAGTAATAAACAGGTCTTTTTCTCGTTGGAATTTGTGAACATATT